GTAGTAGTTGAGTATAGTAGTAGTTGAGTATAGTAGTAGTTGAGTATAGTAGTAGTTGAGTATAGTAGTAGTTGAGTATAGTAGTAGTTGAGTATAGTAGTAGTTGAGTATAGTAGTAGTTGAGTATAGTAGTAGTTGAGTATAGTAGTAGTTGAGTATAGTAGTAGTTGAGTATAGTAGTAGTTGAGTATAGTAGTAGTTGAGTATAGTAGTAGTTGAGTATAGTAGTAGTTGAGTATAGTAGTAGTTGAGTATAGTAGTAGTTGAGTATAGTAGTAGTTGAGTATAGTAGTAGTTGAGTATAGTAGTAGTTGAGTATAGTAGTAGTTGAGTATAGTAGTAGTTGAGTATAGTAGTAGTTGAGTATAGTAGTAGTTGAGTATAGTAGTAGTTGAGTATAGTAGTAGTTGAGTATAGTAGTAGTTGAGTATAGTAGTAGTTGAGTATAGTAGTAGTTGAGTATAGTAGTAGTTGAGTATAGTAGTAGTTGAGTATAGTAGTAGTTGAGTATAGTAGTAGTTGAGTATAGTAGTAGTTGAGTATAGTAGTAGTTGAGTATAGTAGTAGTTGAGTATAGTAGTAGTTGAGTATAGTAGTAGTTGAGTATAGTAGTAGTTGAGTATAGTAGTAGTTGAGTATAGTAGTAGTTGAGTATAGTAGTAGTTGAGTATAGTAGTAGTTGAGTATAGTAGTAGTTGAGTATAGTAGTAGTTGAGTATAGTAGTAGTTGAGTATAGTAGTAGTTGAGTATAGTAGTAGTTGAGTATAGTAGTAGTTGAGTATAGTAGTAGTTGAGTATAGTTGATTCTGGATGACTTTCGGGTGACGTTCGGGTATCGGGTCGCTGTGGGGAAGGTCTTGAGATCAAATCTATGTAAGAGCATTTGGTTATTATGGTTTTGTGGTGACAGTCAGCATCACTCTGTTGAATTGTATTTTCTCAGGAATGTTTGTTGTTCATTACATCCCGTGGAGAGGTATAAGAGCTGGCAAGCAGTTATCCGACTCGAAGGGAGCCTCAGCGGCTATAAGTAATATTTGTGTTAGTATAGGAGTTTCTTGACCCTAGTGATTTGAAAAAAAATTAGTGAAAAAGATATTTCCCGAGTATTGTTCAAATCAGTGTTGTAATATATGTTCGCTTAGGCGTTTCCTCACTAACTATAGGAGTTCATATACGAACTAGGGTAGAAGTGTAGAGAAAGCAAGAAGAGTTTAGCCAAATTTCCTCAGAATTCTCATATTGTCACCAACATATGTGGACTACCGTGTGCATGTTTTCCCACACTGATTGCCAATTGGGTTGTGAAACTCCTTAAGTAGTAGGTACGGAGGCTGCTGTGTTGTGCATGCAACGTGCGATGAGCGGGTTCATGGGGCCTAGGTAGAAGGGAAGGAGGAAGGGCGAATTTGGAGGCTAGTTGAACGATCTTCGTTTTGATATCAATATGGATGGGAATTTTCAATATCAATGGAGTTATATAGAAAATTTTTTACTACTGTTGTTCATCACCGCGTGAATATCGGACCGCTTGACGTAAAACGGGTTGTGAAAGTGTATTATATGCATATGGTGGCAATTTCGGTGGAAGAATTTGTATATCAACTAGGGAGAAGTTTGCTCAGTAAGTATACCTATAGGAATATATAGTAATCTGGTAACTTCATATATACTAGTAATTTCTTAGTAATAATATGTGTTGAAATCATCGAGAAACCTATAGCATTCTCGGTGGGGGAATCATTTTTAATTTTCCACATGCGAATATTCCCATGTGAATGCCATTGTTATCAAATTCGGGGGGGGATGTTATTCAGTGTTGTAATATATGTTCGCTTTCCTCAGCTGAGCTTAGGAGTTTCCTCACTAACTATGGGAGTTCATATACGAACTAGGGTAGAAGTGTAGAGAAAGCAAGAAGAATTTAGCCAAATTTCCTCAGAATTCTCATATTGTCACCAACATATGTGGCCTACCGTGTGCATGTTTTCCCACACTGATGTTATTTCTCGAAAGTAGTTGCTAACACGTGGTGCTCTCTCCATAGGGCACTTGAGTGATTGAGGTGAAGTTGAAAATAGTCGGAAAAAATTGAAGTTGAATTTGTGGAATTGTGAAATTATGTTTTGATTTTAGGGACGTTTTTCGCAACCCGGAAGCGATTTTCCGCTACTTTGAGCCTCAAGAAGATGGACAATGTCCGTTCGACATTGTAATAGGGGGGTTGTAGAAAAGCCACTTGCCAGGATTGAACTGACGACCTTCTGCTTACGAAGCAGACGCTCTACCACTAAGCTAAAGTGGCTGTGTTGTTGACTGTTTGCTAGTTTGGGTCGCTCATTTCAGGAGCTGAGTCATAGTGGAAGTGACTTTGCAGTGATGGGAATGCACTTCAAACTTGGTTTGTATGAGCACCAGAGTGCAGGCGCTCTACAGGGGATGATTGACATTCTGATGTAAATGTGGCAAAATGTTATAAGGGGAAGGGGAGTAGATGTTGATATTATATTATGAAGTTATATATCTATGGTTATATATATAAGTAATGGAGTTTCACCCCTAGTGTTATGAAGAACACGATTTCACGATTACTGCATATCACGCGACTCGAAGTTTTACGCCACTTTACGTAAAACGGGTAGTCGTGAAACTCCAATAGATTGCAAACGCCTTTATATTTTATGCTGTAATTTGATCGTTTTTTGGGTGCCTCTCGAAAGTGGTGGTAAAATATACACGATGGTAGTACTGGTGAAAATATGAAAGTTCTGAGGAAGATTTGGGAAATTTTCGTTGGTTCTTGTATGTAACTATACACGATACACGACACACTACTATACGGCCTCCGAATTCGTATGTAACGTGAGCTCGATGCGTATATTCATCCGATTAATGATCTCGAATTCTGTAATAGAAGTAGTCATACGATATGACCTTAAAACTCGGTGTTAACGAACAGCAGAGTATCCCATCTAATGGCTGGAATGCTCTTTGGAGTGGGGGGAATATGTGTTAGTGATATTATGAAAATTTCCAGGAAATGTGGGAAAATTATTGTTGGTTTTGGTATACTTGGATGTGTATATTCCTCCAGCACTACTCTCGAACGGGAGTTCATTCAACAATCTCGAATTCTGTAGTAGAAGAAGTAGTCATACGACATGCACTTAAAACCCGGTGTTAACGAACATCAGAGTATCTGGTAGTCATATAGACAATTCTAGTGTTGGTGATATTATGTAAATTTGCAGAAAATTTTGGGAAGTTATTGTTGGTTTTTGTATACTCATAGCCCAGTTCGTACGTATGTGAACTCAAAGCTGTTGAATATTCAGAACTATGTGGTGTCTCAGGAGAAGTCCAGAGCTGATGAGCGACCCTTCGAAGATCAAAAACATCAACGTGGTGGCGTAAGAACTTGTCTGGTTTAATCTACTT